GTTCTTAAGTGCCAAAGCACATTTCACCTCTCTTTTATTCTCTTCTATCGTTCTGTTTCATTGTTATTTTTAATTGTTGCTAAAGTCACTAAAAGTTGATTCTATACCGAAATGAATCAAATGCCCAGAGAATGAGCATCAATGAGATACGACCGAGTTCGATATCAACTTATTCAGATATGTTTGTGATCCCTAAACCATTAATTTTCATGAATTGGTGGAATTTTTCGAAAATATTGCACACCAATAGATTACCAAATTCTTCGCTTAATGTTCCACGAAACTCAACTATTATTAGTATCAGTATTATTATGGACGCGTGTAGCGCAGTGATTAGAGGCGCCCTGCAATACATATGGGTTTGAGGCACATTACGCTCCCATGTGAATTCTGTGCGTTTGGTCTCCACGCGACATACTCAGTGGAAGACTCATAGATAGCAGCTCTAAGGAAGGTGAAATCCGCCGAAACGTCGGTTTGTTCGTGAATAAAGAATAAAATAACACCTCGCGTTTGCTCAACAAGAATACGAAGAATTAAATGGGTTTAATCCCCGCACCCCAGACTCACCAAGCTCTCCATCCCTCCTGAGTCGGCATATTGGTACTAGACCCGTTCGAGAGGATAGAGGCACTGACTCCACCCATCAGCAAGTCATCCCGGATCACTGTACAAGCCAAATGTGCATTCATTTGTCTCTAATGATGCTTGATGAACTGGCGAATCCCTCAGGGATTGCTCAACGCCGAGAGAGTATTACTATTAGTATTAGGATTTGGCGAAGTTGTTGTTAAATTACCGATACCCTACTGAAGAAATCTAGATAAATTTAGTCGTTCAAATCTTTTGTCCAACGAGTAAAATGATATGGAAAATCATAGCGCAACGAGCCACAGCAGGGAATTCAATCACCGGAGGTTAGTGTTGATTGCCAAATGGGTAGCCCGATGCTTTCTACCGCTTTTCACCGCTCTCTCCTTTTCCCTTCGTAAAGATCCTGCACTTCGTTTTTCTTCCGGATCGTAGTCAATTTGGCCAGTATTAAGCAAAATGTGCTGCTTAATCTTAAAGGACTCATCTAGCTTATCTTAAAAAATTGTCATTTTGACTTTGGATCAAGGAATTTTTCTCAAGATCAAGGAAAGGAGTTCTCTGCTTATTTTCACAAGTCCAACTTTTGTAGTCATTGCGTCACTTCACTATTTATTGGACTACCATCTAGTCAGGGCACAAAATCAAATTTCACCTAAATATCCGCTTCAAAAGAATAAAAGATAAGGAATGGAATGCTCGGCGTTGGTCCATTCTTGATGAACACGTCATGCGTTCGACTCCACTCAATCTAGTCAGGGCACAAAATCAAATTTCACCTAAATATCCGCTTCAAAAGAATAAAAGATAAGGAATGGAATGCTCGGCGTTGGTCCATTCTTGATGAACACGTCATGCGTTCGACTCCACTCACACAATCGTTGGGGTGGGCGAATGCATATCTGACGTTCACAATGTCTATCGATAGACGAAGTCAGTATTTTTTCTGCCTCCCAAACAATATGTCGACTTCTGAGTGATCGAGAGCGCAGTTAGCAACAGAAGGCGGCATCGATCCCTCGACTAGATGTGTATTCCAGAGCCTAATTACTGTGCTTTAACCGCTTTACTTTGCTTTACTTTTCTTCCCTTGATGAACTTGCACAAAGTTGATAAACAGTTTTTATTCAGCTAACGTTTCGACTTCGCCTTCCTCAGAGCTTCTCTGACCGTACTTCTTTCATTCGGCTCATTGTCTCGCATCAGTCACCAACAATGTTTTTAGGATTTGCTTGTGAGTTCGCCTGCATGGTGATTTTTGGGTGTTCTCAGCCTTCATAACAAGTACTCATCAGTCTTTGCGGATCAGTAGGAAATTGTTTGCGGGCAACTCTTATGTATATTTCCAGACCCCGGTGGAGCGACAGGCTTGGTCGGCATGTTGCTGGTAGAACTTAGACCTTGCGCGTATTCGACAGCATCTTTACAACTGCGCTACTCGTGCCCAGAGATCCTATTTCTAACATTATTTTAGTGCCTTTATAACTAGCATTAGGTTGTTAGAAAACTTTATTGTGGGTAATCTTTCGACGCCTTCATTTTTTTTAAACCGCCAATGATTTAGAAAACGTTAAAAACCACTTTCAGTTCTTGATTTACATTGTCTTCAGGCTACTTCGGACGGCACTCTTAAGTTGAGAAAACGTCTCATAGTATAGACTTGCACATGTTTCAGGGGAAACGACTCAAAATGTCATCAAAGTGTCAGAGCCAGGGAAGCGCTTACGTACGTGCTATATAGAAGCGTTTTCGAATTCATTTCGAAAATCGACTTTCTTCTAACCTCTTCATGATTATCAACATCTTCGTTTAAAAGGACATTGTTATGAAATGTGTTGTATCGGATATTTTGAGTCCTGATGCTGAAGAAAGTCGTGAAGGGCCATCTACAACTACCGATGGCCATTTGAAGGTGTTAATCGATTTTTTGTCTGCTAAAAAACAAATGTTTGAAGAAGAGCTCAACGTTACCTAGTCGATAAATAATCGTTCCTGGTGTGGTGATTATTGCAAAGGTGAAAGAAATTCGATAAACTGATGCATAGAGCGGATAAGACAAAAGTGGTCGTAGCTCTAAACTCAGCTCTACGATTTTTAACGTCGAAAAAGCGCCTGGCTTTCGATAGCGCGTTATGAGCGATGAAAGATGAATCCGATATGGCAAAAACCTAGTCAAATCGAAATGGAGATATTAAACACTTCACGAGGTCGGATTACTACTGAGAAAAGTCATGATGACGGCGATGTGTAGTCAAATAATCCACGCCAACCGTCGGAAGCCTAGCAGAACGATCACAGCAGAGAAGCATGCTATGAATCCCATAAAATGGACAAAAAGTGCAGCGTTTAGATCCAAAATTGGGCAACAGGAAATGCTACAGCCTTCTTGAACAATAACGGTCGACCACATATGGCACAACTTTCGGTGTATAAGTTGAGCGAAAAACTTTGCTTCACACGCCACACTAGAAATTCAAAAACAAAAGAAAAAGGTTAGAGCACGAAAAACAACCAGAAGTTAGGACTCTTTGCAGCTGCATTACGTTAACAACACTAAGTTGGTTTTTGTTCTTTTGCTCGACAATTTTGTGTTTAAAAGGAGCTGGTAGAGCACTGGAAATGATCCCGCTTATTACGCGAACTACCCAACATACCGGCACTGGTTCGGACCCACATCAATCTCACCATGTCTTCCATCATTCCGGGATCTCCGCAGTGACACCAGACTTGTCTGGGAGAACCGTGGCACTGAATTTATAGATCATTTGGCTACCATAAGTCGTTGTGTTGGATAGATATGCATTCATTCAACTCCAACGCTGCATGGCAAAATCGTATGCGTGGCGCACGATCGAGGTTTGATAGACTCCGTATCCTTTATTGTTCATCCTTTACTATAAGGAAAATAGCCATCTAATGTTTGGGTAAGGATCCTCCGTAATGGACATCTTTGTTCACAGAGGAGTTCACAGCTTTTTTTTGGTCTCGACGGGATTAACGGCTGTCGTCAATATGTTAAATCAGGAGCTCTTTGCAAATGGTCTCGAATCGTTTTTGAAAAAATTCAAATAATTTTTCCCAAAGAGCACCAGTTGAGTACAAAACTATGAGTGACAAGAACTGTGGAAGAGCACCTGTGGTCTCGCAAGAGCACGAAAGTTTAAGGAAACGTAGTAATGAACTGTGAAAATTCTGAAGAACCGGCTTCACTATACTATACTTTCTGATTTGATGTGAATGTTCACAAGTGTTGATCGGATGGCTTAGAATTGTCCATATGGTTCAGAGGTGCGTCCAAAGCACTTTATTCTTCTGCTGATGCGTTCGCCCAGACCTTGAAACATTTAGCGGAGATGCGACTTAATCGATCAATCGTTAAATTTTGGACCTATTTTTTATACAAAGGAAACACTCTATTGCTATGACGGAGCATTTTGTGCTTACCGTGCACTGGGATGTTATGATGATTCATCGGAATGTTGACCAAACAAGTTGGAAAGCTTCAGATCAAAATTAAAACCAGAACTAGAGTCCGTCAGAAAGTCCTAAATGTTTCATGACTACTGAAACTTGGGATTTGAGCTCTCGACTCCCAGCACTTTTATAGAAAACATGCAACGACTCGTTCTCACCAGGTGAAAAAATAAAATTGCGAGTAGTCATGGCTGAACCTTCCTAGAGACGGCTTTTTAACAAGNTATACAAAGGAAACACTCTATTGCTATGACGGAGCATTTTGTGCTTACCGTGCACTGGGATGTTATGATGATTCATCGGAATGTTGACCAAACAAGTTGGAAGGCTTCAGATCAAAATTAAAACCAGAACTAGAGTCCGTCAGGAAGTCCTAAATGTTTCATGACTACTGAAACTTGGGATTTGAGCTCTCGACTCCCAGCACTTCTATAGAAAACATGCAACGACTCGTTCTCACCAGGTGAAAAAATAAAATTGTGAGTAGTCATGGCTGAACCTTCCTAGAGACGGCTTTTTAACAAGCATTACATATAAATATCTACAAGTGATGAATTAGACCACTGGGACTTATAGAAAAGGGCGAACTGATCTAACCTGCGAACAACATAAGCACAGAAATCTGTTTTAGGCAGTTTCTCACCTTCCTCGCTGGCAGCTTCAGGTTTCCACCGAGCGCAGTTCAAAATTATTTTGCTCTTGTAAGATGTGACTTTACTTTGCAATTAAGGAGTAGGAAGCTAGTCGTTTCAGAAGTTCGATTCAGATTTTGATCTTATTACATGCCACTATTTTCCGTTATATTTAAGAATTTCTCACCATCGAGCCACCATGAGACTACTAGCCAAGTCTCTTTTATTTTAGACCTTTGCCTTAAAACTACCAGAAGCTCAATCGTTGACTTCTCATGTTCGAGAGAAGTACACTATTTCAGGATGTGCTGCCTCGTCGCTTTACCTTTCATTCTGTTCGCCAATGTTTACGTCGCTAGCTACCGAAGCAGAAGTGAGGTAAAGTGATGCTAAGATATATAATATTACCTTTATCCTTAACCCCATAAGAAATTGCAATGTCAGAAAATTTAGCACCTATTCTGGGCATTGAAAATTATTTTAGCGAAAGTATAGCTGTTGTGGAGCTGTTTGCTTAGGCTTAGACTGTTTCGACAATTCATTTTTGACAATCCTGAAATGTACGGGCCATTGCTTGTACCAGACAGGCCAGCACATAAGATGAGAAAACGCCATAGATCTCAGGCCAGAATGCAAGTCCGAATTATTTAGAGAATCAAAAAGGATTAAGCATTAGTGAGAAAATTGATGGAATCATTTCACCTCACAATGCTAAAATGTGCTTCAGCTTTCTGGTAAATTTGTGGAGTTATCGAGCCAACCAAGGTGGATGTGGCCGATAAAGTGACTTCGTGGTCCGGATGAGAAAAAAGTGAATATTCAATACTTTGTCTTAAAGACCTTCTTATGGGATTTTGAAGGTTGAAAGTTTCGATTGACTTGGGTATGAGTTGAACCAGAGAACGTATGGATACGAAAGTCATGTCGTTGTTTCACTTTATTCATCACGAATACGATTTGGTCGTCAAACTCTGATGCATCTGCGCCAGCACAGGCTTGTCAAATTATTACCCTTTGACCATGACTAANGTGCTTCAGCTTTCTGGTAAATTTGTGGAGTTATCGAGCCAACCAAGGTGGATGTGGCCGATAAAGTGACTTCGTGGTCCGGATGAGAAAAAAGTGAATATTCAATACTTTGTCTTAAAGACCTTCTTATGGGATTTTGAAGGTTGAAAGTTTTGATTGACTTGGGTATGAGTTGAACCAGAGAACGTATGGATACGAAAGTCATGTCGTTGTTTCACTTTATTCATCAAGAATACGATTTGGTCGTCAAACTCTGATGCATCTGCGCCAGCACAGGCTTGTCAAATTATTACCCTTTGACCATGACTAAGGTTTTGCCAGCTTTCGGGTAATCGGCACGGCACTTCGGTCTATGAAATGCATGGGACGAGTTTCAAGAAGCTATCACAACATGATGGTAACCTGAAGTAAAGCCGTCTTCAACAATAGATTTTGATAGGGCGTCGCAGAATGACGCGGGGTCGGTTGGAAGTGATATCGAGACGAAATGTTGACTAAAATCAGAGAAGTAAAGATCTTATTTAACAGGAGTGTTCTCCAAACTAGAAAGCCTTAGAGATGAATTTCGATGTTAGTGATTAATCGTCGATATATACTACAACAACACTATTCTACTATAAGGAACATAAGAAAGTGTTTTGAGGGAAAAGTTAGCATTAGCAAGTTAAAGAAGTATGAAGCCATTGTGAACAGCTCTGATCTATAGCCTTAGTGGATTGTTTAAGGTGGGAATAGTGAACCTTTGCGATGCGAACATTCGAATTCGATGTCAGTCAGTGCTGTTGGACAAAAGGGACGTGTTCCTGTCACCACACCAACAGTTCCGGTACCGATTCGTCGACACTAGTTCAGGTAAGCAGAATTGCACAAGGAATCGTCTTCCATTTCCTCATCGTCACGAAGACGAAGAGGAAATGGCAATCGAAAACGAAGCAAGATCAGATGAATATGAAGAAGTGCGAAGAAAAATCTCTGTTCATTTAGATCAGAAGTGGGGAGTTTTTCGTTTGTTCTCGGAGTGCATTTGTCTATTGATTTTAGCCAACAAACTATGAGACTGAGAGGATTTTTTATTCATGGCTGTGATGTTAAACAGAAATGCATGACCAGTAATCTTGTTAACCATCGAATTAGCGAGGATACATACTGACTCCGAGATCGGAACAGCGGAGTGTTTGGCTCGAAGAGCATGACAATCCACACGACAGTCGTACAGAGTGCTTTAGTTTCTATTTGTCGGACGAACAGGTGGCATCACTAGTTGACCAAAATCCGCCGTGGAATTGGCTTATTCTTAGCTGGGCTTCTGGCTAGAAACGAAGAATTTCTTCCTAGTTATGGATGCCCTCCCTATTGAGAGAGTGCAATAGATCGCAGCTTGACTCCTGTCAACACTCCTGCGCATGGTAGCGAAACCAGTTTGAAAAATTTGGACAAAAAATCAAAAAGTGAATAAATAATTATAAGAATTTCTGTTTTGTTTTTTAATGGTTTTTATGATCTTTTACGGTTATTTCTTATGATGTCGTAGGTTCTGTTGCAGGAAATCGGCACTTTTGGTGCGATGCGTATGGGCTCTTTGGATTCTGGGAGAACTTCGACGTCTTCGGAAGAACGGCGCCGACTCGACGGAATATCACATGGTCAGTTCAGTTCATATATGAAAGCGACAGTAGAGCGGTCAGATGAAACATATGCAGATGGATTCATTTCGTGTGCAAACTGCTCTTACCTTGTGCAGAATGTTGATGTAGGAACACTGAACCAAAGTATAAGCAGGATTTTTCTAAAATTTCTCGAAATTAAAAGACGTTCCCAATTCGCTCAAATTAGTGACATTTTTTGAAAGTTTCATCTAAAGGCCATGGCTTTTGTATTGATTGACAGTGTCGATCTTTGAGTAGAGTATGATTTGAAACTCAAGAACAAAGGAGTCCATGAGGACATCTATGTTGGTTCATCGATAACGAAGTTCTGGGCCTCCCTATTCCTCAGCTGACAAGCAGATGCTCACAACGTCGAAGCGTCGTCAATTACCAAACATCTTTCGAAATCTCCAGATAAGCGATCGCTTGGAAATGTCTACGGCTACTCACTCCTTCTCCGAAATCGAGCGTTTTTAAAGCCACATTATCAATTGGATAGAACTATTTGAAAGTTTCTGCATCGGAAATCAGATGGATCAATTCAAAGTGGAAAAAGTATAGTGTCCAGTGTAGTTTTTTTGATATGGGCAGGTCTTCGTTTGGAACTGGTGTGTTTCGCCGAGGCTATAACATTAGTCTGTTCAAATCTATTCGTGGTAATCTTAGTATACCATTGTAGCATCAGGGGCACTAAATTTTTCAACGAAAACGAAGTTGAAGCTGAATGCGATCGAAATATTTCCGCTCATTAGTACTTTCCTTCTATTTAGTACAGCATTAAGAAGAAACAAGGAGTACTGTTTTAGGAACATAAGCATTTGTTGCCACGTTGTGAGGGTTACTGCGCAATAAAAAGTGAGCCAAAAGTGATCGATGGTACAAAACGACAGGCGATCTCCACATACAAGAAAGCGCTTGAACTCAACATCAACAAGTAAC